ATTGACTGACACTGATTGCTTTCTTACATGCTGCTTAAGTTAACAGCAAATTACTTTTAGCCGCGGTTGCATTAGCAAGGAGGACTTGTAGAGCTAATAAACAACTCTGTGTCTTCACAAACGTAGAAATATAAAGATGTAGCAGCTTTAGTACGACCACAAAAGACTATTTTCTACCTTTCCACTTTTTGTATTAGTTGTATTATAATATTTGATATAAGTTAAGCATATACTGATATATTTATGCTTTCTCACAAATGGGAGGCCAGTAAAGTATCAAGAACATGTTTAAGGGACAAAAGTTCTTCATCTTTAAAAGCTGAGGTACAGGACTCATAATTTTCAGAAACAGCAAGTGGCATGAAAAGAAAATGGTGTTTGTTTATGCTGCAAAGTGTGATCCCGAAGTGATCAGTCTGATAGCTCTGCTCAGAGTTTGGGTACATTGTGCAGACGGATACTAATTCAAAGACAAATACGGTGTCAGTTTCCAGAAATAGATCGAGCTTTTGTCCTGGTTTAAACTTGATACGCATGTTCCGGCTAAATGGTGTAGCTTGATGTATAATGTGGGTTTGATAATAAACAGAACATTTTTTTTTTTTTTTTTTTTTTTTTACAATTTCACTGTTAGCTTCATTAAACCCTCAATACAAACATTATTTGAAAAGAATAACAGAATATTTGGAAAAGTAACATAATTCAGGAGATGATTTACAGTCGTGCATTATTCACTCTTCACTACTGTCCAGATCTCACCCACCGTCACCAACTCTCACCCACACACCCGGTAAACTGTTTTTACAAAAGACACTATGGCAGTTTACACTTTTAGACCAACAACAGACGTCTCCAAGCCCTAACCAGCCTGGCTTGGACCAGCTCTAGACCTGCTCCATGACCAGACATTATAGAGGCAGCATACAACTGGATTTGAGCTCATATGTTGGAAGTCCAGTCAACTGCCTACTCAGAACTAGTCTATTCTACTCAGAACCAGTCTATTCCCATCCCACCACATGGATGAAGTAAGCAAGTAACTAATTTTAAGTTGTAGAGCGCATTTCACAGACCAAGCAAACACGAACGCTTTACCATTTGTTGAAATTTTCATTCAGGGGAAAGCACTCTGCGTAAGGGGCCGTTTGGAGCATAAACTAGCTGGAGCCAATTTCCTTGTATGGGCATTTTTTCTACGGTATACCTTGGTGCCGTTTATGGGGCAGACGTGTTGCTAAGACGGTTGCCAAGGCGAGCTAGAGTCCCTAGCAAAAGAATGCATCTGATGGGTCAATACTTTTATGGTTCATATCCTTTTTTATAAAAACATTTAATTATAAACACCAGGATCATAGAGAGATTTAAGTATACATTAAGCTTTGCAGATGTCTTAAGCCCAAAAAGGTGAGTTTGGTTTCTGAGCTACAGTGGTTTAGAATGTAAGTAAAGAGAAACCAGAGCGAGTTGGAGCAAAATGTTACAAGTTGGCTGTCAGACTGTACAACAGACCTGGATGAGTCTTCTGCTAATGGACACCTGAAATTCTCCTACGGGGGATCAATAAAGTATCTATCTATCCATTTATCCATCTATCCATCAATCTAACTATCTATCATTGATTCCTTGGTATAGGACATAACAGTAAGCAATGGGCTTCACTGTGATATAAAACAATGCTCTACTTCCTCATTCCAATGACTTAAGAGACACATTAAGCTAGAGGGGCAGATCATGAGGCCGTGCAGAACTAAAGCACCTCAATTGACGGATGTGTTCTAATCTCACTCTAGCTCCATTATGCCATCTCCATATATCATCAGATCACATTCACAACTCCTGGCCCCCTGCTGAGAGCGCCACTATAGCCATTCTTCAGCAGATAATGTGTGACCTCTCCAGGTGTGGTTTGAGTTTGCATTTGTTTCACTCTGCAGCACGCACACCTCTGCACACTGTCATCTCTCTAATGCGGCCTCCGTTTGCGACTCAGAGAACTTACTTAGCAAAGGGACACAAAGCGCTTCACACAGTCGCCTTCGTGATGAAGTGGGCCTTCACCGGATGAGCGCGGAACATTTGCCAGTAATTAGAGGAGAATGAGCACAAACTGGAGCACGGATCTCTCTTGTTAATGATCAGCGGACACACCTGTTACCGGCATAACTGAAAGGGGTACGATAATGTGAGAAGAAGTTGGGAAGGATTTAACACTATTGTCGTTAATGTGCATGGTTAGAGCATTCAATATGGCATATACTGTATAGCAACTGACCTTTATATATGTAAACAAAACAACCAACCAAATCTGTTTAGCATAAACCTAATACCATTCTGATTGTGATTTTTTTTAGTCTAGGCAAAGAAATTCAAGGGAGTGGCTGCAGGTTTGAGGAAATGGGTGGAGTCTGTTCTGCTCCTGCTTGGTTGGCATGAAAACCTGCACTCATCCCGTTGTGTGCTTTTCTGGATGCTCAACAGGACTTCATTCTTCATTCACTCAGAGGCGGTAAACATGAACTTCACTTCACTCACTCATCAGACTCATTCTCGGGCCTAAAATGAGTCGGGCGTATGAGTGCGAATGGAGGCAACGAGAGAGAAGTGTCTTGCCTAAGGACACAGCAACAGTTTGGCACTTTACACTGTGGCACCTGGTGTTCCCATAAGCTGCCCATCACAGTACTAACCAGGCCCTGCTCTGCTTAGCTTCCAAGATCTGCTGGGATCAGGCTTTCTCATGCAGGTGGCACCACAATAGTCTTTGAGCCAGAAGCAACGCAGATCAAAAATAATATCTGTGATGTGAATAGATTACTCACAGATTAGATTACAACTATAGAATATCCAAATACCCTGATCGACCTCATGCTATAGACTTTATAAATGGACGTTTAGCTGCTTATGTAATAATCGCAGTGATGGTATTTTTGCTCTTTTAAGTGGGTGAGTAAACTGAGCCAGGTGTCTGTGCTATTTCTGCACACTGCTCTGCTTTAAATGTTAGACGTAAAGTCGGTTAAAAAGACGTTAAGATGTTAAGACAATATTTAGGTGTAGAATTTGCTTTTTCTTTTTGATTTATGTTCACTATATTTTTCATAATACAGATATGTTTTGACTACATACACCTGGAAATATAAGCTATAGTGTACTTACAGCATGCATTTTCTTGTCATAGATAGTTGAACCAATATGAATAACCATCAAATCTGGTCTGGTTCAAGCTAGTTTTCCTCACACATTGTTTTCACTGTGAATAAAATCATTGAATTGTGGAATAATTCTGTAACCCATAAAGAAAAGTAAGACGTTCTTATTTAACCTGTTCTACCTCCTTCACTGGGGGCTTGTCTTTATGTTGCGCCGCTAATTAAGAAGCATCATTCTCAAGACCTGAGCTGAAATGTAAGTGTGCAAAGAAGCGCCTCTCCTCTCTGCAGTCCCTGATAGCACCTCGTCTGAGCTAGATAAATAAATTGAGCGGAGAGAAAGAGGGCTGTTCATTTGGAGAGGCTCCGAGTGTTGTTCCTGATTACACGTGTACAGCTTGAAGAGGAGGCTGAAGAGGCTTTGAAAGAGACACTGGAACCAGACCATTTCACTTTAACGCTCTATGCCTTTGTCCGTATCAGAGCCTTTCACATGTCTGTGTAAAACTTAGAATGTAAGATAAATGTAGATGCAGTACATGTTTCCATCCAATGCACGGGTGAGGATAAGACAAGATATCATTTATTCGTACCAAAGTGGGGATATTTCAGTGTTGCAGCGCACATACAGGACAGTAGTAAGTGCACACAGGGAGCACACAGAATATACAATATAAGCAGTTGCTATGTTTCTTAGCTAGCTGTAAATCAATATCTCTCTCTCTATTTACTATTTATAGTTGAATGATGGCTTGTAGAGAGAGTACAGATGCCCAGGTTTGTATAGAGCTTTGTGACTGGTCTGTGAAAGGCGCCATATAATAATGACTTACTGTACTTGCTTTGGCTCAGCAGTTCTCATTGTACAGTCCGACAGCAGCAGGAAGAAAAGACCTGTGGAACCTCTCCATTACACAGCGAGGGTGAATTAGTCTGTCACTGAAACGTTATGTTACTGGACAAATGATCTGCATGTTTTTCTTAGCAAACTTGAATTCTTGTTTGTTAAAGATTTCACTTGAGAACCATGTCTTAACATAAAGTGCCATTGTATTACACAAGCTGGGGTGTGTGCGGTTTGTAAAAGACACACAGAGAAAAGTAAACTACTAAACGAATGCTGAATGTTTGTTTGGCTTTAGGGCGTTAGGACGGTATAGCCCAAACACTGTATTTGTGTATTTTTTGTGCATATTGTAATTTGAAATAATTGTAAACTGAAGCAACATTGTAAAGCTTGTTCAAACATCCTACAGCTGTTTTATGCTTTTACTCTGAAGTACATCACTGCGTTTTTATTGTGAAGCTCATATTGTGTAAGTACCTGAGACTAATGGAAAAGTGCTCTGCTGTGTTAAAGTCTAGTCTCACATTCCATTGTTGCACTGACTTCCAGGCTTCTGCATCTCCTCATCTCTGAAACTCATCCTTTGCTTGGGCTGCTCCTCGCTCACCTCGCTGGCTTCTTTTAATTTCAAGAGCTGAACTATTCTGCAACATTTGTTGATGTGGTTCTGATAGTAAATGCTGCAGAATTGTGCTCCTCTTGGAATTGTTCTTCTTCGCTGGAGAGGCCCCATCACCGGCCGCCGTCCTCGCTCCGACCTGCCCATTCCGTCGCACTCACTCTCACACTGCTGAAGTAGATGAAGCTTTAAGTCCATTTCCTGGATGTGATTGGGTCTTTTAGCTGGAATAGCTTCACTATTAGCCAAAGGAAATGAGGTGTTAGCGTGCTCTTGTAATGTGCCATTTCAACAGCGCTGATAACACGCACTTCGACTTTGTGCTCCTCCACACTTTAGGACACAGATGGGTTTGATGGACAGTGACGTTTTAAACATTCAGTAAATGCTGAGGGGCTCAGTGAGTCTGAGCAGAGCTGAGGAGAGACCCTGGTCCGGGACTGTGGACTCAGCTCCTGGAGATGTTCTGGACCAGTTCCAGACCTCATTAACCTTGAACAGAAGGCTGTGAGTAGATCAGTGCCCCACAGGCCGTCTGCCGGCCTCTGCACACACTCACAGCAACACTGCAGACATGACTGTTGGAAATCTATATTTAAAGCAGACTGATTAAAACACTAATGCTTTGGTCTTCATATTTTACTTTCACTTTTACCAAACAAGCAGATGAAATGTACACCTTTCTAAAACTCCATTTGCATATAAATGTAGTCGTCACATGCTAGTCAGAAAAAAACATTAAAAAGTGTTTGAGATGAATATGCGTATTGCCATTATTTCAGGGAAAAGTCATGTGTAAGCCGAGCTCACTCTCAAACTACATTGAATGAAGAAAAGCGATGACTTGAATCATTCTTAAATACTCTGCAGACTAACACGTGCTCTGAAAAGTCATTTCTGAGAGAGCAGTTTTTCTGAATGCATGCCCTCAAGCTGTGATATTTCAGTGTTACTGCTTCTTCAAAACAATCATCCATTTTCAAAATGATTTCATACAGGCAAAGCTACAGTATGTAGACGAGGAAACCCTCCTCTATTGAAATATGCAGCTTTAACTTATAAAATGACCACAGTGCACACAGTCTGCGTGTTTGTTTATACACAATTCTGTTCTGATTAAATGTATGCAGCACGCTGACCTTCACAAATCCAAAAGAATGACATTTTGATTTGCAGACTTTGGCTTTAAGTGGCCACTTGTCCCTCTTCAGTCAAAATATCCAGGTCTCACTCATATTGACAGCCTGTCCACTCTGGTCTTGTCCACCGTTTGTCACCAGCACTGCCCCCTCCTCCTGTGGGCTGGCCTTGGACCCACTGGGCTGGCCACACACGGATGGCAGACCCCACACATCCCCACTGCCCGGCAAAGGCTGGACTGTGGACCTAAAGCAGGTCCAGTGGAATGGAGGAAGGGCAGGGTTAATATGAAGGAGTGAGTGACGGATTTGGACTCAAGGGCGCGTGTATCAGAGTGTAATAACAGGTGCAGCCTTGGTCCACGTGTTTTAAAGAGAAACTGCACTGTTAATATTGTTCATTTTGGAGAAATCCCAGCAGTCTACAAACTAATAATACAGAAAAAACGTTGGATGTATTGGAGAGAAAAAAATAATAATATTACAGTGGAGCTATTAATCCTTTGTGTGTTTATAATGTATCCTCTATAATGTATACTGTCAAACTTGTCCAATCTGGAACTGAACGTCATTCCCAATGCGATGCTTACATTGTCTCAAGGTTCTTTGTTTATTATGATTTAGAGAAAAATCCTTCCACAGTTTTCACATGTACTGTATGTCATTTTGTAAATATGAAACTTTGAACTATAAAATCTTTCACCCAGATTTTCCAGACAGGAAAGTTAAAACGAGGACCCCTCATATGTGTTTAATATTTCCACTAAGATTAGGACAGCAGATTATTCATGAGAAAGACGTACCCAGGCTTTTGAAGTAACTTTTCTACCTTGCTGGTTGACTTCTTCTAAAAAATAATCACAGTTTTATCACTAATCCCATCATTCTGCCTAGAACATTGTCCGTGTATTGTTAGCGCTGCTGTCTTAATGGTGTGTTTGAAGACCTCTGTAGAGTGGGCCTCTTCCTGGTCCCCTCAGCTCCATTTATCAGCAGCAGCTCAGGCCTCGGCGGCTGCTTCAAGGTGACGGCGACCTGCGGTGTCGCCTTGTTCAATCGATGAAGTCACTGACAAACAGCAGCAAATGGGAATCTCGTGGCTGGACACCTAAATACACCCTTCTGTGACAAACAAGTCTGTCCGATTTATTGATTAGGCCCCATAAAACTTTGTCGTTTGAGTTTTTCATCTTTTCAGTTCAGTCTCTAAAATATCAGTGACAATGACTCGCTGATCCATTTGAAGTTGTCAGTGGTTTTTTGTTTAAGTCATCTGTAACCTTTGCGACATCTGCTCAAACTTTGATAAAACTTTAATATTGTGTGAGTTGTTCAGTTCTCTGTATTCTATTTGTGTTTGTGTTGTTAGTGTATTGACATTATCTTGGTACGTCATTTTCTATTGTCTTTCGTATTCTCCTTTTTACTTTGAATGGATTCTCCTCTGACTATGATGTTCCTCTGTCCCAGTGCAACTCTTTTGGAAGCTTTTTGTTTATAAAAAAAATATCTTATTCGTATAAAGTGGATTGGACTTGATCACCATTACTAGTTTTCCCATGTACAATAAGTCACTTTAAGTCACTTGCATTAGGACTGAAAAACCTGCACTACTTATTGACACTGATTCTTGATTGCCACTTTGTAATTGCCACTTTTTATTGTACATAATATATCCTGCATTTAACATGTTTGCACATTTCTTTCTTTTGCACAATCTTGAGTGATTCTGTCCATGCCAGATGTGACATGTACATTTCTCCTGTGTGAGATCAATAAAGTCCTATCTTATCTTATGTTTGACTAGCTGTAGTGGACAAGATAAAGATAAGATTTTACAAATATGCTAACACTGGAAACAGTTCCCATTCTTAGTATTTTTTATGATATCACATTCTTATCACCAAACTTATATCTGTTTCATGTTACTTTGTTCATTCACACAAACATACACTTTCTATATGAAATGTTTCCACACATACAAAGATGATGGTATGTTTTCTTCATCTCTTGTGAGAGAAATGTGACTCTGCCAACATTTGTATTTTTTTCCGACATGTGCTTTGGCTCATGTTAGATCTAGGCCCAGCCGAAGGAAAGTGGAGAATAGTTTGTATTATTTCTAACATACCTCTCCTTTGTGTGTGTGTCCTCAGCGTGCCACCCGGGATTCTTCAAGGCGTTTGCTGGAAATATAAAGTGCTCCAAGTGTCCTCCGCACAGCATCAGCTTCAGTGAAGGCTCCGCAGTGTGCCGCTGTGAGGCCGGCTTCTACCGCGCAGACAAGGACCCGCCCACTATGGCCTGCACTCGTGAGTATTATACTAGAAAGGGAAAATCTGAGCCTTCTCTACACTATGGAGACTCAGGCTAAATGTGGTCTGGGGGCACTTGGACACAATGTTTTTTCAATAAAATCTGGACAGGACTAGACCACCACTGGCGCCTAGGCCATTATACCTATTGGACTATTTTCCATGAGAGAAGGAGTACAAGGTTGACCCGTGATGAGCTTACTTCAGATTTTAGGTTCACAATTCATCCAAAACTTGTGTAATTAGATAGATTAGTAAAACAATTAACAAGCTTTGTGTTTACATGTTTATATACATGAACTGCAGTCACAGGTTAGTGTAATCTATTGTTATAGTGGAGGTAATCCGTTTTCAGCCTGGGGCCCAGGGCAATTCCCTGTTTGGAGTTGAACCGCTGGTACAGCATGTCACTTGTGCAGCCTCTCATAGTCTCCTAGTGCCTTATTATCTGATCAAAACATAATTAGATGCTGATAATAATCTCTCTGCTCTGCCTTCATCTGTACAACAGGTGTGTGTTGTGTTTATCACTACTGTAATGTTGTGAGTCAGTGCAAAAACAACACTCAGCAGACTCGGTACAATAGATTATTTCAATTCATTTAAAAAACACCATTTATTGTGAAATATTATTTGAGATAATACGTTTTGTGTATATACAATAAAAGTGCCGGGGTGAAATGTGCGATGCCAGGCTTATAGAATGCAAATATCACAGCGACTGCGAAGCGAACCCAATAATAACTGTATTCATGTTTGTACAGAGTGATAAATGATGCCAAATACAGACTTATTTGTGTAGTAGTTTGGAGGCTGTGGGTCACACTTCTGCCTCGTCTGGCCTGTGATTCAGCGACTGTCATTAGGACTTCATATTTGCATTAAATTACAGTTTAACCAGACTAATTCTGCTTTAATTAAAAATCCATTTGCCTGTCAATGAGATAGACGGAGCCGTGTGGAGCGCTCACCACGCTCTTACACAAAGACATGTTACGGCAAAGTAACTTTATAAATCTAGGCCATGCAGCTGAACACATTTGAAATAGAGGGTGAAAAACAGTAGTGTGTGGCTTTACAATCGCATTTATATAATTTAAGTATGTTTTGTCAAAATACACACATGTGCAAGGAAATGAAGCAGATGAAATTGTTAGTATTAGTATACTGGCTGTTTGACCTAAATACTGAGCTAAACTAATTACCTACATACAGTCAAGATGTCTCAAGATACGCTGGCTGAGTGCAGAGTAGGCACTGGGTTCAAATTTTAGGTTTCCTCCTAGTGCTCCAGTTTCCGTACAGTACAGTCATACCACTAAAACATGTGTACAGTCCTCCAGCTGTGGTTCTGACCAAGCCGAACACCAACATCTGGAGGTGGGTCCTGGGCACAGTACTACGGGGACCACTGCCCCTGACGAAAGCCTTAGTGGCACCTTTTTATCAATAAGTCACAAGGTTAAGACTAAATCCAGCATTATTAAATAATAATAACAAAATATGAACTTTTGCATTTCAAGGTCATCAACCTAAGCTCTAATATTGCAACCATTACTGCATTTATCTTGTGCTCTCACAGCTAAAATCATGCAAAATCATCTTTGGATCTTCAATCAATCAAATGATATTTATTTGTAAAGCACATTAAAACAGAAGTGCTTTCCAAAGAAGCAGATAATAAAAAAAACACATAATATAAATTCACTTTGGCTTTAAATTTAGTGTTAAAAGCCAAAGAGATGAATATTCTAATTGAACTCAGTGAAACTGTTTAGGTCACTGTTGCATCTCTCCAGTATGTTGTTGTTGCTCTTGTACTTGTGATGTCCTCACGCTAATGTCCTCTGAGCGCAGTTGTAAGGCACATACTCTGTCGCCGTGGTGATGCATTGTAAAACAGGGCTTCCTCCTGAACCGGCCCATAGACAATTTCCTTCAAGTGAGGCGTTGAAATGGAGATTAAAGAGTTTGGGCCTGAAGACAGAGCGAGGGGTGTCACCTGAGCGCGATAAAGGTGAAGAGGGAGAGAGGAGGGGTCTGATACCATCTACTCCTTCCCCATCACACACACACACAGTCACATAAACACACACGCACACACATACACACACATACATGCACAAATATACACCCGCACACAAGGGGACTGATTGATGACAGTGGGACAGCACTGTGGGATGGGTTGCTGTGGACCCAGGTGAAGGGGGTGCCGGGGCGATAATGGGAGAGATAGTAAAGTTAAGTCCAAAATTCAAGATTGAGATAAAAAAGCTTCTTGTTTTTTTCGGTTGATTTTACGGACAGTGGACCATTGCCAACGTGTAAAGTTTTTTTGGGGGTTTTTTTCCCGCTCTTTTATCTAATCTAAAAGAAAAAAACGAATATTTAGACTTTTAACTTTTTTCCTCCAAAATTGCAACATCTTGAAGATAGAGAAAAGTGGTTTTTCAGTTTAAAAAATAAATGTTTTTTTTACACAGCACCAAATAAAATGTTTTTTTTTTTGTATTCCTTAAAATCTATATTTCATACAAAATCAACAGAAATACATAGAGAAAGTCTTAACGTTGATGATGGCAATAATAGAAAATACTAATTTCAATAGTTCCATCACACAAATATCCTACTCTAGATTAGATTTACAGAAAAAAGAGAAGATATTCCATTGTTCGTCCCACAGTGGAGAAATTTCAGTGTCATCGTTGCGCACATTACAGCAGAGAAAGAAGGGAATGAGAGCAATCAGATTGCACACATCAAATGGGGTCTATTATTTAAGATAATAGACAATATCATTAAAATTTTGTTTTTTATGTTTTTTATAGGTTTGGAGCTTTAGACACCGGTTTAAAAATAAAGATATTTGGTGTCATTCTCAGGTGTTTCTTCTGTGTTTGTAAATGTCAGTAGTTGAATAGCCTGGACACAACCCAACCATAGAACCCTGCCCTGTGCATGTATTGCCTTTATTGCCTCTAAAACATTACCATCAGAGCGAGAGGCGGGGTAGGAGTCAAAGCCGATGGATCCCTGGGAGGAGGAGTCGTCTGGGGAGGGGGGGAAACATCCCATTGTGGAGGCAGGCAGTGAGCTTGGCAGGACAGCACCGGCTCCAGTCCCCCGGGTCTTTTAACTCCGCCCGACTGACAGCTGCAGCCTGCTCCAGCACAATGCGCGCCCCATGCACAAACGCGCCCACTGTGAATGCGTCTGTGTGCGCCAGGAACCATACATTGTTCTGTTTACTCATTCCCAATGTATAGCCGTGTTTATTCCAATTTCCTCCATTCTTCACAAAGTTTGACAAGTTAACAGCAATCCAGGGAGCGCAGAAGTTATGAAACCAGGGTAGCTTTTATAGTGCACAGCTTGCGTAGTATAAGATGTTTTAATGGTGTTTTTCTTCTCATATCTTTTGTTGTTCCCGTCATATTTTTTCCTTAAAGGAGCACTATGCAGCTCCCCTGATGGAGGTCCACGTTTTATTGGGTCCATCTAAATTATGTTGTGTTGCCGGCCCAATGTAGAACCCCAGGAGAGCTAGCCCCATGTAATGTTCAGGTTGTTGAGATTGTGTACAGGTACATGCAGTAAATAATAAAGTGATTAGTGGCTCTGTCTGTCTATGAAAGACAATATATAAAATGACTTACTCAAATAATGTTACTTTCAGCAGTAACACCATAAGTGTTACAGGTGTTACTGCTGAAAGATAGAATAATATGCAAAAGTCCATTTACTTCTGTATTTTATCTTAGAATGTGAAACTATTGTATGACAGACTCATTGAACACATGCAACGTGTATTGACTTTATTGTTTTCAATGTTGATAATTGGCTCAGAGTTTGTAAAATGAATGTTTTGAAAATGGACTATAACCCATAATCCTCAATAATTACAAACAAAGGGTTAGGATACGTCACATCGAATGTATTATATTGGATATACATTTTAGGTTGAATTTCCAAAATAAATTGGAACAATATTCTGTATTTCCCAAGTGTCACCTGTGTCTTATACTGAGGTACAGTCAAAGCAAAGAAATAACATAAGTCCTGCAAGGCATCTTTGAGGAAAAATACAAAACTCCAGTATATGAATATGAGATAATCTACAAATACTTTCTAATATTCTAATACTAGTCTAATGTGCTTCTCATAGATGTAGCGTTACATAAAAATGCTTTACTTCGTCAAACTGGTGAGAGCCAGACTCAGAACTGTCCTGTTTGGGAGAACCTACACTTTCTAGTAAAGATGACGAAAACTTGTGACTCAAATCAGAAAACGATCTCAGGTTCCAACTATATTAAAATAACTGGCTCCATATTCTGGCGCACGGTTAATTTTTAAATCCTTTTGAAGCCTTACACAATCTGGCACCTCCATATCTCTCTTTTACTTGAGTCGTACAAACCTGTGCACAGCCTCAGACCCTTGGATCTTCTTGTTGCTCCTTGTGTATAATTGAATCCACTTTACTCCATCTGAATCCTCCATCTAATGACATGTGGGCTCCAACTTTGAGCACAATCAAAGAGAATACTAAAGACACATTGGTCCTTTCCACAGACTTATTCATGTATCTGTATGATCATGATTTAGTGCATTGCTGTTTCTGCCAGTTTTCTAAATGTATTTGTTGATAAATGTGCCATACTAATTGAATCTTCTTCTTCTTTCCAGGCCCTCCATCTGCCCCTCGTAACCCGATGTTTAACCTGAACGACTCCTTCCTGCTGCTGGAGTGGTCGCCTCCCAGTGACAGCGGCGGCCGCAGGGACCTCACCTACAACGTCCAGTGCAAACGCTGTGGATCGGAGTCGGAGCAGTGTCGCCTGTGTGACGAAGAGCTGAGGTTCCTGCCCCGGCCACTAGGGCTCACCAACGCCACTGTCACCGTCACCGACTTCTCTGCACACGCCAACTACACCTTCGAGATAGAGTCCATGAACGGAGTTTCTGACCTGAGCTCCTTTCCGCGCCAAGTGGCTTTTATCACCGTCAGCACAGATCAAGGGGGTGAGTTTTCTTAAGTGCCGTCTTTGTTTATGGGGAAGATGCATGGATTGTAGATCAGTGGGGGCCCAGACCAGTGGGGGCCCAGACCAGTGGGGGCGGTTCCGGCTCAAAAATGTCCACAATGACGTGCGCTGACATGCTTGCAATACCACCCCGGGCCGATGGGGGTGGACCCGGAGTAAGAAATATTTTAAAAAAGTATAGTGTCTTCTCACATGTTGAAAACGGCTTTACAGGATGGTCCAAAAGTTGGCTTTTGATCCAAAGCTACGTTACAGATGTGTGTTAAGGCTGAGGGGAATGTATTTTTTTAGTTTAGCAGCAGTGGAATTTTGAAGGCACTGGTCAAATGAATGGGACTAGTGACGGCTGAGTTTTTTCATTTTCCTGCCCCCGCGGCCACTTTTGAGAACCCCATAGACGGCAAAAGTGATGGCCCATTAGTTTGAACGGTGAGGATAGGCGTGACTACGTCCGTTAATATTCACAGTCTATGGACCACTGTAGTTCACTAGAACAACAACCTGGATTAGTTTGTCGAATGTTTTCAGGCTATTTTGAGCTTTAGAATGAGGTTTGACATGTCCATATTGATTCACATTTAAATGGAGTTCTCCTGATTGGCTCTTTGGTTGCTCGGCTGTTTTTATCCACAAATACGGCTTCAGATTCACGTTTGAGTTGGTATTGCATTTTACCTGATAAAGCAAACATGGGTGACGGCAGCCATGCATCATGAAAAGTTAGGTTTTAAGTTTCCCCCAGTGGTAGTCATTGTACATGTGTGTGTTTGTTTTGTGTTGTGTGCACGAGTGGTAGTGTTTGAAGCCAAACAATCATCTGCTTCATTAAAACCCCTTTTGTGTAGAATAGAATATATTTTATTTTGTATCCTATTTTGCTGTTTTCTGTGTGAATGTGTGTGCGCAGGATTGAAAGAAATATATGACAGAAACAAGTGCCGCCTTACTTCATCACAACAAATATTGTGTTTATTTCATGACTTTGTTAAAGTTCAAAGGGATCAGATTTGTATTGTCGGAATCATTCCTTAAGGTTTAGACTTTTGTCCGGTGAAGAAATGTGTTCTTCTCCATTTTGATACAAGAAGACACATTCTATGCAACGCAACATTTCTAAAAAAATGTCTTGCTCCTTCTTTCCACTAGCCGGGTTTATTCATGTTTGATATGCAAGTTTTGTTGTTAGAAAGTTTTGCCAGTTTCCTAGGGAGGCACAAATGTTAGCAATCCATCATGGTTTCACAGCTTGAGAATTTAGTTTCAAGTAGTCAGTTTCAAGATGTACAAGTCCAGGGGTGGTGCACTCTTCTAAATAGCATGAAAGTAGTAGTTTCTTTCATCAAATAGTGTTGGACTGTTTAGTCTATAGCTTCCATCAGAGCTGGCAGTTGAGCGAGAAAGTGGTAAATTCTCAATGACATCTGCTAAATGTTATTGTAGTCTGGTTTTGCATTCTCAGCTGGTGTTTTATATTGTGGCGAGAGGCCAGGGACGTCTGTGTCTAGATGCCTTTTTATTCAGAAAGCTCTATATTTCCTTCGAGACATGGTATGGTGTGTAGAACGCTTATGTTTTTAATTTGTGATTTGCCAACAGTGCTTTTGTGTTGCCTCTCTCCGCCCTCTCGCCATCTCCCTCGACTATTCTGAACGCCATATTTCAATTGGCTGTTGGTCCTCCTCCCTGCATGTTTGTTTTTGTTCTTTCTACCTTTCTCTCCATCCTGCTGCTGACAGGGGACTGTGGGGAAAATACATTTCTGTGCCAAACCATTAGATGCATTATTCAGTCTCAGTAGGGAAGCGCTCCAGCCTTTACAGGTAACTCCATGTTGCAAGTGGCCTTTTTATTTCATTAGGATTCCCAGTTTAGCACAAAGTCTAGTGGCAGGTCCCCAGGCTGCGGACTTTAGGCCCATTTGATCGCTATCACCCCTGGTTACGGTTATCTAATGTGCCCCAGGGATGTGGCTGATGGTGTCAGCGGTGACTTTGATAAACTTTGAGTATAAGTGAGTGACATGAACAGCCACAGTTTTATGACCTCTGGCAGATGGACTTCATGACACCAGTATAATATTGGAATGAGGCTGTGTATTGGCCGATAAACTGGTCTATGTTGACTATATGACCAATTTCATCTAATTTTTAACCATTTGGATTGAGTTTTTTGTGAACATTAACTGTAGGCCTATTCACTATACCCCAGCAATAACAAAATGTAGTGTATCTTGTCAGTATTTTAGCAAAAAGAAATTCAAATTCAGTTTAAAAGGTACACAAATATTTGAAGTTAAGCTTTTGATTTTAATTCATCACAGTGTATCAGACTTTCAAAGATTCTTCACATTATTGATTCACTTCATACATGGTGGTGGTGATCGACTGCCCTGAGACAGACTGATGGAAGCGAGGCAACTAATCTGTGCCTTCAGGAGTTCCCGGGGTGATTGTCAGCACAGACTGATCTAATCTGCCACTGCTCAAACGTAGACTTTTCTAGTGTGCAGGTCAGAGAATAACTGCACCTGTTTGTTTGAAGAGGCTGGTTTTAATTCTGGAAATGGCTTGAATAAAACCAATTAAAAAGTTATATATTGAATTAATCTGCCACGGATTTTCTTTATCAATTCAAGCTTGACTGAAATTTAGCCCCAGGCTCTGATCTGGTGTATTTACAGCTTCTGCAGTTCATTCATACAAACTGTGCTGTTCAAATAAATAAAAGAAAATTAACAAGTAAACAACAAGTTTTCCCTTTTTTCCTACTGTATGCGAGGAGAGAGAATTCTCAGCGGCTTGTATGGAATTCATATCAGCGTTTGCCCGAAAGGTGACCGCAAATTTAGATACAGATGACATATAAGTTAAATGTCAGCCGTTACAAATAGTATCTCAAACCTCGAGTCCATGGAATTCCCAATAATCCGTTCAAAAGTCAAATCCTATATGTTGTCTACAAACAGAATGTGGTCCGCCAGAAGTAACTGGTGGAGGTCCTCTTGTCCTTTCTGAGTGTGCTCTTATTAGGACACCGAAGCACTGCTGTGTTTATGCTTGTATTATATCATGCTGGACTCGTCGCTGTGAGTAATTACAAGCACTTTCATGTATTACATTAGTGCCAGCTCTGTATTTGTTAAAAGCTGCGAAAGTGACCGCCTCCTCCTCTTACATAACTCACTGCTCCAAGTATCACATTTGTGAAGTGTGTGAGAAGTTGAAGTAGAAACAGTGGAGGTGGTTGTGTTTTGCATAAGTATTTAGGAAGCATGCATATATACATTCTATAGCAAGATGTTACACTGTTTCATTAGCATTTTAATGGCTGTGTGCAGGATTGAATGATTACTTCCCTTGCAGATTACATGCTAAAATATATGTTATAGTATCAGTATGTCTATTTTTAAGCTAACATTGCACCTTCATGAACACCTCATTTAGAACAGCATGTGCCAAGCTAGTTAGTGGGTATCTCAGTATCCGTGAAACTTGCTAGAAGAGAAGATGACATTTACAAAGTTAGCCATACTATTACGACTGAATCACCGTCACTGTAGCACATTTGTGGGTAGATTTACTCTATAATGAGACCTGGTTTCAACGACCTTCATTAAATTAGCGGCAAAACTCCTGTATTGATCTGTTTTATGGTTTCTATACACTGGATCTGAGGCTGTTCTAGATTTGCAAGGAAAGCAGAAGATTTAATTGGAAGTGGGAATGGTTGAAGATTCCTAATTGAGTGCACAAAGACATCAGTATGGGCATTTTGCATTGATTTGTGTGTCAAAATTACATGTCTTGAGGGAATTGTCTTGTCCCATTCCCATGTTGAAATGACATGTCGATCTGGAACAATATCGGGAAAAGTTGGCTTGTTGTTCGTACCCTTGTTTGCTTTTCACTACAGGTTAACAAACGTGTCAAAATAAAGCATCAAAACAAACTTCAGACTCTCAAAATCAGTAAATTTCAAATTCTTAAGTCACTGCGCCATGCACACAAGACCCCCAGGGACTCACATTGACTAAAGGAAGTGTATCGTCCATGTGGAAAAATATTAACATGTTGAAACATATATTTTGCAAAGACAACTTTATGTAGGAAAGAGCAGTGCATGGAAAATCCCAAACTTTGGTGGTCATTCTGCAAAGTCTTTCCCCTTGACATGAGTGTACTTTTTTAACCACGATCTAAGCCACATGTCTGCAACAATAAATAAAACTACCTCACAATGCGGGTTAACTGGTGACCCACAGTTTTCTGACCAAAAAGCCATGTTTTTGATCATGTTTCAGTATCAGGCGCCGGCAGACTTCTGTATAATCCTGAATTTCTGCTGTTAAAACTGTATCTTCCTTAAAATAGTCACCATGTTTTTGTTTCCAACTTCCAAGTCATTTTTTAGCGCACATACATACATTGGCCCACATGTCTTTCTTGAAGCAAAGATTATATTTTCTGTGATGTCTGCGGTAGAAATGCAAAAATACCCCCGATCCTGTGAATTTCCTTGATAGAAAATAATGCAAATCTTCTAAGGGGAGCCTGAATCGGTGTGCTGCTGGAGTAATCATTTTTTCCCCTATTATTATGCATACAGACAATACATTTACACACAACTGCTTTAAATCGAGTGCGATGGGCTCGTTTGGGGAGGTGCACTGACAAAACAAATCATATTAACATAGTGAGGCCATCAGCAGAAATGACATTGTGAAGAGTTTAAAGAGTGGACAGTCATAATGAAATATATTAGACATAGTTGTTAAAATGCTGAGGCCCCTAAACTCTTAGCATATTGCAGATAATAGAGTTCCCTTAAACATGCACGCCCACGCAGCACACTGTGGATGAAATAACGGCTGCTATAGACCTGTGATAATCTGCTGTCAGACTTAACCTTTTTCACTGTTTTTTGATTCATTTGATGGAAGAAATGGTGATCTAGAACACACACATAAATGGATTGTAA